GGGGGAAGCTTTCTCCTAAAAATGGAAAGAACTTGTGCATTAATTAAAATCCCATTGTCTTAATCATACTAAACACATCAGTTGTTTGGTTCCGCTTACCAGTCGCTCATTAGCACTTGTTGCAAGGCTTCATCCTGTGACCAAGGACTGGCCTTTCCAGCTATTTTTCTGTCTGCCCCAATGCGAGGGAACAGCTGCAGCCATGGCAGTGAAGGGTGAAGCCAGTAAACAAGGCTTTGCTGAAAGGCACAGCGCAGTTCTGTGGACAGTTTTGGTTCCTAGATTTCAAAAAGTATTTTATGAGGGCAGTAATACTTTACTTAAGGCGGCATTACAAGTGACGGATTTAAAAAATATTACACTAAACACAAAAAATATTCCCAGGCTTGTGAATAAGACAGACTGAAGAAAGACGGACAGCAGCCGGCAGCTGCTCCAGGGCTGAGGTTAAACGACCACTCACTTCTCACCGTTTGCCACTGCGGGTACAAGCCACGGATGGAATTAGGTTAGCAGTCTAAACGAGCCTTACTCTTAATGCAAGCAGGACAAACCAAACCACAACCAAGCCTTCACTGCCGGCATGTTTAAGGAAAGGTGCAAAGGTACATTCTCCTCTCCAAAGCTGGAGCTTCAAGCTGCCCTCTGCAGCGTTACCTGTACACTCTGTGGCAAGTTTGTTTCTGTCGCTCTGCAATGCTGAGCAAATCCCTGAGCTTCCTCTTGTGCTTTTAAATGTTCTGCCCATGTAAAAGGTTGGGAAGACATAAACAGAAGTCGTGTTTTAATACTCCAGTCTGCGGGAAATTCATGTCTTGGTGAGGAGGGAACTTCGGGCACAGCCACAGGTAAATGAAGGTCCTTACAAAAGAGAAAGAGCATCAGTTAACCCATAGAGTTTAAAACCAAACCCCTATGCAGCTACCTATTTGTATTTTACCATGGTTAGGTCCCATGCCTTTCCTGGCAGGCAGACCAAATACTGGACTATAGATGTTAGATTAACGTCCTGAGTTCAGTAGCCTATAAAAAGACAAGTTAAACCCTGTTGTCTCCTGCATGTTTTTGTCCAATTCAGTGCAGCAGGTAAAATGCCTAGCTCATTTTGATCCTAAGGAAGTACTTGCATTAAATTCAGAGACATACTTAAAAAAAAAAAAAAGCTTCTGCAGACAGATTTTCTGGATTCCAAGTTACACAAAGTTTGACTGTTCACAGGCTAACTAAATTCACAGTTTATACTCAACTGATTATTTCAGTCAGTAGAAATACGGCATTATATTGTTTATAAAAAAGTGGGTTTTCATTCACAGGGGTCTTTTCAAAAGTCACAAACTAGGAACAGATAAAAGGATGAATGATTCAAAAAAAGAAAACTTAGCCTGAAGTTTACAAAGACAAGAATTTTCATACCAAAACAGCATTTAATTTCATCCTCTCGTGGTGATTGTAATGTCAGATGCTTCCTAGAGGGTGCAAAAAAACCCACTGGGGAGCTCTAGGACAGTTTGTGCTCTTTGAGAGGTCATTCTTCTGTTCTGCTAAGTTAGTTTGAACTTCAGTTTCTGAACCTGTAACAATGTTAGACATTATCTGCTTGAACCTCTCCTTCATGAGAGTATACATATTCAGTATTCTCTCTGCCCTATGTGGCTGGTGGAGTCGTGTTTATTCCCTTTCTACACCTGAATAAAAGACTGTGGAAGATGCATCACTTTGAAGAACATCCTTCTCTCAACAAAAGATAAACCTCAGAAACAGGGGAATTACAGTCCAAATGGCAATCAGACTGGAAGAAGACACCAACCTCTGTCAACTAGAACAACAACAGTAGCGGTGTCAGGGAGAAGGCTGGCTTTTAAAGGACTGTCACCATAACAGTAAACTCCAAGACAACGTAAGAAATTTTCTTAACGCTGACATTTTAGTACATGGTTTTAGACAGAGAGGGACCACCAAACATGACGTTTCAGCTCTTTTTTTTTTTTTGTGAACAGAGAACAACTGGAAACGTTTCAGCAGCAGTACGTGCGGTTCCGTACATGGGTTAGGGCGAGGACGTCGGTTCTTTCGGCGGGCTCTGCTCTCCGGGCGTGCCTGTCTTCGCCAACAGCCTCTAGAAGCTGGATGAACAAGGCGCGTTAAGATGCGGCGCCAACCAAGAGCCGCGCTGACACCGACCGGCGCGGCCCTCGCAGCCCGCTGCCAGGGGC